CTGCCTGCTTTGTAGTTAAATCCATTAAACTTAAGTCATGTTTATTGTGTGTTTATGGAGATATATTCTATGCTAGTTGTTAGTGCTAATGTTTTATCTGTTAGCTGTAATGTAAGCTAGTTGATCCCTACAGGGTTCTGGGTTAGTTGTAACAACATGAGTCGGGGTAAGTTGTAGCATTTTCTTGGTTGTTACAATTGACCCAAACTTAAGAATTTCTTTTATTTTTACGTTTTATTTGAATTACAGCATGCCCAGAAATTGGAAAAGGCAGACTGACCGATGGGTGCCTCTCTGCATTCTGGAGAAAGAATCCAATGATGCTAAAATTCAGGGAAAGTGTATCAGATCAGTGGCAAAAATGTTTGGTATTTGCCACGTCACACTTTACAGAGTTTGTCGAGCCAGGAACAAATTAGAAGAGCAAGGATCAAGACAGCTTCCATGAGTAGGATACTACAGTAGATAAAAGGCCCTCAGTGATGAACAGAAGAAAATGCTGACAGATTATTTGTTGAGGGCTGCTGATGCTTATTATGAACATTGTCCATTAAGGATATGTGAGGATAAAGGTAGCATTTTATATTGGCAGCAATATAAGATTGATCTAGGTAGGAATACTGAGTTTTTTTGTTGTTGTTGTGATTTTAATTTACAGGTCAGAGAACTTGCATATAAACTTGCTGTGAAATATGAGTGCAAACACCCAATATCATGGAATGAATCTTCCAAAGCTGGAGCAGATTGGTTTTCAGCCTATATGAAAAGGAATCCAGCTTTGTCTTTAAGGAGTGCTGAGGCCACAAATCTTGCACGGCCCACCAGCTTTAACAAGCACAATGTGGAAACATCTTTTAAAAACTTGATGATGTGTTAAGGAGGCACAGTTTAACCCCAAATGACATTTGGAACGTTGATGAAACCGGCTTGACTACTGTGCGAACCCCTGGCAGAGTGATTGTAAAACATGGCACTAAGCAGGTCACTGGTCTCCATTGTATGTTTAGCCACTGCTATTGGCAACACAATTCTGCCAATGTTAGGCACTTAAAGAGCAAGTTATCCCCACCAGATTCTTACTCCACTCCCACTTCATGTTTGAAAAATGCAACAAATGCTGTTGCCTAGCATACCGAGAGGGTGGAGCCGCTAACAAATACACACACACAGGCTCACAACGACATTGTGACATCATATGGTACCAGCTAACGTTCTAGGGTACTTCTTAGCCAATAGTGATGGCAGTTTTAAATTCAAATGCAGTGCAGAATTTTTACCTGGCAGCGACACAACACTGACAGTTTAAGGCAGAAAATTCAAATTTTAACTAAAATGCATTAAAGGGCAAAACTATTGACTACACGTGCCTGCAGCACAATTAGACACACATTTATACAGTTTATTAGAAAAAAAAGTTGATTTGGGGGTGACTTGCTCTTTAAGTGAAGAATAAAATATGCTTTGACTGTCAAGCTATTGTGAGAATCCTTTTTTATATTGTTACTTCTCACCCCAGGTTATGTTACAACTGACCCAGACTATGGGGTGAGTTGTAACATTTTACTCCTTGTGTTTCAGACAAAGCCACATGATTTCTGTTTTTTCTGCAGAAACAACAGCTACACCATTTAATAACTGACACATGTAGCTAGTTTGTGTCACATTTTGAATTTTCAAACTTAAAGGAGTTCCAAGCTACAGATAGAAATGTCAAAACTTTTACAACCATCCCCGGTCTCCCTGCTCGCATAGCCTCTGGGCATGGCGCTGTGATGTTAATTCCCTGATGAATGTCTTTCAGTGTAGAAGGACTTGCCTTTGTGGTATGAAGAAGTTAGTCACATCTGGCGGTTCTGATGTTTGTGCAACATTGACCGAGTCAGACTGGTTATGTTTAAGTCATTTGTCGCCAATGAAATCTGCAATCATTTCCTGTTCTGACCTTCACTGATGTGTTCTTTCTGCAGGATAAATGCCTTTTTGAATCTAATTTTTATGTCCAAACTCGCTTTTTAAATCCAAAGAGATGGCAAGAACTTTAGATGTAGGTCAATCAAAAGCATGTGCTGAGCTTTTCAACAAGAGCAAGCTCGTTTTGGTTATTCTGTGGAGTTTATCTCCATCTAGCGGTTGTTTTATGAACAGTGTCATAAAGTTGGATGTGAAAGCCAATTTCAAATAATATAAACAAGCAAATAAATGAACAAGCACTTAACTTGGATAATTTAGGCAAAAAACTGAAGACATTTCTACAAAAATATAAAAAAAAGCAACTTGATTATTTATATGACCACAATGAGGTTAAACTCAATTCCAGAGCAACAATTACAGCAACTCTTAATTATTAAAATTAATATTAATATCAACATTTAGAAGCTGAGAGGAACAGTTCAGCTTTGTATGAATTATGTATAATAATTAAAACAATACGTGCATCTGTTGTAATAAAACTTTACTGTTGCTGCCGGTAAAAGTGGAAACTGGTGGTTGTAAAAGTTTTCATTGGGAATTCCTGGAATCTTATCTTCTTTATAAGATAAAGTTTATGACTTGTTTTTCCTACTTTTGTTTTTAATTGTAGTGTCTTTTTAAATGTAAGTCAAAAGTGTGAGAAACATCCCATTGTATAATTAAAAAAAAACAGAAATTCAATTCAATTCAATTTTATTTGTAGTGCACCTTCCACAACAATATCAGAAGCCCAAGGTGCTGAACAGCATCATCATAAAAACATTCCCAGTACCTGGGCATAAAAGCAAGATAGAAACATAAAATCATAAAATATCAAGCAAACAATATTACAAATACAAAGAGATAACGGAATAAGACTAATCAATTAAAAGCAAATGGACAAAATAAGATCAAGCATCCTGATCAAAAAGAAGAAGAATTAAAACCATAATGTCAGGTCAATTCAAAGAACCCTAGCGCTGAAAAGCAATCAGATAAAAATGAGTCTTCAGACGAGACTTAAAGACTGGAAGGGACGGTGCCTGCCTAATGCTCAATGGCAATTCATTCCACAGAGTTGGAGCCAAAACAGAAAATGCACGATAACCCCTCGATCGATATTTCGACCGGGGGACCACCAGAAGTTCCTGCTCGGCTGAGCGAAGAGACCGAGATGGAGCATACCTGTGCAAAAGTGCAGTAATGTAAGAGGGAGCACTGCCCTGGAGGGCTTTATTAACAAAAGTTAACATTTTAAATTTAGCTCGGAATTGCACCGGGAGCCAGTGCAGAGCATCCAGCACTGGTGTAATGTGATCTCGACATCTAGTACCTGTCAGGAACCTAGCCACTGAGTTTTGCACAAACTGGAGTCGTGCAAATCAAATAGTTCCTCCTGCAATAAATGTGCCTAATTTTACATAAAGTGTTTGTATTTAGTCTTTCATCAATCCAATTACACACATTTTGTTGATTTATTCTAAAGAAAGCTACACAAAACCTGTGAAACCTCAACAAATGCTTCAAACATTAATGATCAGTCTGATTGGTTTTTCTTGATTTAGTGGCATTACTTTGCTAATTGTTAAGAGGATTTTACATAAAATATTTAAATATGCAAAATCATTTCTATCTTGTTTAGTTAATTAAAATGCTTTGAAGAATTATTATCTAACTTGTAGTTTGTTGGTTGAGCACCCTCAGTTTGGAGAAACAAACCAATTCTAGACTAGATCGATGAGCAAACAGCCTGTGGCATTAGGGAAAGTGGTTGTTTAATAAAAATCTAGTCTCCATTTTCAGCAGAACTGCAACCCGTGTAGTCAGATTTAAAATTTTCTGACAGAAACTGTCATTTCAATTAAAAAAACATATGTTGCATGAACATTTTTGCATTTGGAGTTTTTCTTTTAAGTATAACAGCTATTCATTAAGTCAATGACCTTTCTGTGACAAAAGTTCTATAAAATATTCAACAACAGATAAAATAATGTCTTTATCACCATTTTCCAGCAATAGACTTCAAATAATCTGAACTATCCCTGCAACACACGACACTGCCACGGATAATCCCAGAAAATATTTAAATAATTTAAAGGAAAGATTAATTAATTAAGTAAATAAATAAATAAATAAACAAATAAATAAATAAACACAACACAACTAACATTATGGCAACGTTACAGTTTTCTTAGAAACACTGGTGAGAAAAACAAAACAAAACAAATAAATAATGATGATGATACTACTGGTAATACTGCTACCACTAACAACAACAACAACAACAACAATAATAATAATAATAATAATAATAATAATAATAATATTAATACTACTACTACTACTACTACTAATAATAATAATAATTTTCTACACAAAATTGTCTTTGGTGTGTTCTTGCTGTGTTGAAATTCTAATTCCATCTTTTAGTTTTTTTAAAACCCAGGTTTTATTTACCTGCAACGTTTCGTTTGCAGCTGCAAACTTCGTGACGAAAATTTGCTTTTAAAAAATGTTCTGACGAAGTTTGCAGCCGCAAACGAAACGTTGCAGGTAAATAAAACCTTTCTGTGTTTTAAAAAGAACTAAAAGATGGAATATACAAAATTGTGTTCATCTAAAGATTTAGCGACATCTAGCGGTCATTTTTTAAACAGCGCTTGCTTTCACCGGAAACCTGTATGGAAAAACCAGCAAACGTGCCAAAGATCAAATGTTACACTTGATTCAGTTATTTTGTGTCTAATTTTGCAGACTTGCCTTTAAACCAAAGAAACAGACCTAGTTCCTGCCAGGTGATGGTTTATGACGCTGACCTCCAAAAGAGACTAATTGGCTCAAGTTTAGAAAAACAAACCTATGCAAACAGAACAAATGCGCGTTCTGATATATTCTCTCATAAAATAAACAATAAGTATCATAAAACATGGAGAACTGATGTTTAGAAGCTTCCATCCACAGCGTACGCAGCTATAATGATGAGAAAATAACAGTAAAAAAAAAAGTCGCTCCGAGAAAAAAATGGGATTTATGTTGTGAAGAAAACTCACCTGAAATCATTTGATCACGTTGTTTAATCCAGAAGTGATGCTGGTGGATGATAATCCATCCATTTAGTTTAAAAATGGATTAAATGGAACAAAGAAGCAACCCGCTACAGAGTTTAGTTTCACTTTTACTTTAGTCTCCTGATCATCATACCCATAGGGTCCTTTAAGTCAGCCACCGTAGCTTTCAATAAAGTAAATAAGATAAAAAATAAAAAATAAAATAGAATAAAAAAAAACAGTAAAAAGAGTTTAAATATTTCTAAGCAAAAACGATTCAAGATTTTAGTCTCCATGCACGATCCTTCATGACATTTCAAGGTTTGAAGCTTCGCCTTGGAGCTGAAATGAAGGTAAAGTGGTGGACTTTCCATGGCAACAGAGTGTACAGATGAGCCCACACGTGTTAACCACAGGGGAAGAACTATTAAAAACATTTCACAAATATTCACCTAATTTCACATTAATTCATTTATTTAAAAAAAATATTTATTTATTTAAAACAGTGTAAAAGAAAAAAAATATACTAATTTTCACAAAAATAATTCAAAGTAAAAACATAATTTCTAATAATGACTTCCGTAAAACAGAGCGGTCAGAGCTTCTAACCACATTATTGAGCATGGTAAACAAACACTTTCACTACTTAAGCTCCTTTTCCCTTCATTCCTATTTTTTTTTACCAAACTTCTTCTAGAGACAAACATTTTATAAACAATTTGGGAAATTTCTGCAGAAAATTAGCTTTTTGAAAAATGTTCTGGCTGCATGCTGCACATGCACAGAAGAAATGGACTTGGTGAATACTGCTCAAAGAATCATCAGGGCAGAACTTGGACAAATACACTAGAACGCTGAAGATCAAAATGAGATAGATGCACCAAAAAACACACCCATCAGCTGATCATCTGTTGCCAAAGTTTTGTTGAATGAAAATAAAGCGCTAAAATCCTTCTATTGTTTTCATAATTTTCAGACAATCTTTGTAAATGTTCAGTTTCAGAGGTGAACTGATTTTCTTCTTGTGAGTCAACTGATACTGACCTGTAATCATTGCACAACAAGGACATGTAATCTCAAAGAAAATACCAGTATTTTGTCTTCAAACGATAGAAAATGTAGCAAACACATGACTATGTAAGCATGTCACATAATATAATTTGTTCGATTGTATTAAGCTGCTTTTACAAAACTGCAATGCAATTTATTTCTGTCAAAAAGTGGTATTTTTTTGAATTTCAAGTCATCACTTTTGCATGAACAGCAATTATAGCACTGAATTAAACTGCAAGTGCAGAAAAAAATGCAGTTAACACATAAATACATTGTTTTACAGTGCATTTAGTTCCAAAATAAAATTATTTTATTGTACTCAAATTGCTCATCATGGTATAAGAATTTCAGCCCACTTTCTCATATTATGATGATATCTCTAAGAAAAAAACAGAAACGTACAGCTAAGAAACCATACCATATCATACCACACCATATCTATTTATAAAGCACCATATCAAAATAGCATGGCAGCTAACCAAAGTGCTGTACAAGCCAAATGCTTGAACAAGAATTACAATAAGAACAGGCAAAATACATAAGAACAAAACATAAACAGAAGCCACAACTATATTTTGGTTTCCAAGGTCTGGCATTTGGACAATTCCCCTCCAATAATGCATTCATTTGCTCTTCTTTTCCTATTAGAACCAAAAAAGGATGCTTACAAACGCAGTTCAGCAACAAACATTTCCAGTTTGCATCTCTAATTGTGCTATCGGTTTAAAACTGAGTAGTTTTAACCAAACTGTGTTAAAGTGCTGATTTGACACAGAGTAAAATCCATCTTTTTAATATCCCACCTGCAAATCTGTTGCATTTGAGAAATAGTTTCCGGTAAAGTTTTTCCTTTTGTTTCTGGCAGCAGGAAACAAATGACGCCACCACAAAGAGCTAAAACACCCATGGTAAATGGTAAATGGCCTGTATTTGATATAGCGCCTTCTAGAGTCCTGGAACCCCCTAAGGTGCTTTAAAACACAATCAGTCATTCACCCATTCACACACACATTCACACACTGATGGTGATGAGCTATAATGTAGCCACAGCTGTGTAAGGTTATGAAGTTCATTGTTTTCAACTCCACACAGCTGCCCCCTGTGCACAATAACACCCGTGTAGAAAAACCAAGGTCGGGTGTTCCTCAGACTGTTTACATTCCAGGAGAAGAGTCCGAAGGAGAAGAAGAAGCTTTACTTAATCAAAGTACTTTATTTGTGATTAAAATTATTAAGCAAAACAGATGTTGATCAACAATAATCAAGTGAATGATCTGTGAAATAAATATGTCATGAGTTATGTTTAATGAAAACAGGACAACTGCACAGACATACTGACCCTCATCTCCATAGAAACGCATGACACATTGTTCCAACCAATCAGAGCTTTCGGCTGCCGCAGGAGAATCTGGTGTTGACTTCAAGTGTCCAATCCACTTTACTACAACTTATCAACAATTCAGAGATATAAAACAAGGCAACGCCATTTTAAGAACAGTTCCATTTTGACTTCAGTTCTAGTCACCGTCATCCTAAAGAAAAGCACAGCCTGGCCAGATGTGTTTCGTCTTTAAACTAAGAACTGTGAAGTTGGAGATTTTCGTCGTTTAACAACCAGACGACGTCCTTTCAAAATAAGAGCACCTGCTGACGCTGCCGAACGGTACCGGGGTCAACCCTCCAGACGGGCTTTGAAACGTTGCGACCGCTGCGCCGACAGCTCCAGCGTACATCCGAGGTTCTTGGACCTGGCATTTCCTGATCTACCTGGGAGGCCCCCACTGGGTACGTACACGGCAAAATAGCGGCTCATGTCATCACTTTATAAGCCTCGTGATATCTAGTCATAACAAAGACTACCAGATTCAATGACGTCATCCTAAAGAGTCTGAACCAACCACACACACACACACGCACCAACACAACATCCACATCCATTTTCATCCATCACAGAGTTAGTCCTGGTAGATTGTTTAGAATTTATAATTAAGTAATTAAAGATTCTTAAACGATCCCATCTCTCTCTCTTTTCTTGTCTCAAAGTCAATACAGAGTGTTTAATTAAACTCCCTGATGATAAAAACAGCCTATTCTTCTGTTTATAAAAAGTGACCTACTTACAGTGTATTAAAATACAACTCTAGATAGATACATCACTTCAATTCCGTTACAAATATGGCGAGCCTAGCTTGATATCTGCACAGTTTATTACACTTTGTGCCGATTTTGAGACATTTTGGGATTTATTTTTGTTCAGTGTGTGTGTTAGAGAAAGAAAAAGGCGAGCGCTTCCTCATTCAGCTCTCAGAAAGGGGGGTGCACATTCATCACCCTCCAACAGGAGGCGCTGTTTCATCAAAACACCTTAAGTGCTGACGTGTGCTGACGGCCATTTTGAGGCCTACATCTAAGGGTAAACATTTCTCCTGTTTTATTGCATTGGAACGGTCTGTTTATTGTTTGTCGCGGTGTTTGTGACACTGTGTGCATCCATTTGTGTAATCGGAGACAGAAGACTCCGTCGGAAATTTGTTTCCGTTCGATAAGCGCAGGATCCGCGCTGTTCTTTGTCGGAATTCTCGTTAGCACCTACCGTAGCTTAACTTGCTCGGTAAACGCTGTCAGTCGGGAACTACCGCCGAGCGATACTGCATCCAGATTGCGTACGCTGTTGAAACTCTTTCAATCACGGAGCGAGATGCCCGTTGGTTGATCGAGGCAATTTTGAGACCCTGGTCGCTACAGGGCGTTCGCTAGCATTAGCCGACGAGCTAACTAGCCGCTCTCGGTGAGAAGGCTCGGGAACGCGTCCCGCGCAGCTTTCTAGCCGTTCCGACGCAGCGGAACTGCGTCCTTTAATCCGCTAAACCTTCCGGTACGGAGTACTCCTGGCTGGCTCGCCATATTTGTAACGGAATTGAAGTGATGTATCTATCTAGAGTTGTATTTTAATACACTGTAAGTAGGTCACTTTTTATAAACAGAAGAATAGGCTGTTTTTATCATCAGGGAGTTTAATTAAACACTCTGTATTGACTTTGAGACAAGAAAAGAGAGAGAGATGGGATCGTTTAAGAATCTTTAATTTCGTAATTATAAATTCTAAACAATCTACCAGGACTAACTCTGTGATGGATGAAAATGGATGTGGATGTTGTGTTGGTGCGTGTGTGTGTGTGTGGTTGGTTCAGACTCTTTAGGATGACGTCATTGAATCTGGTAGTCTTTGTTATGACTAGATATCACGAGGCTTATAAAGTGATGACATGAGCCGCTATTTTGCCGTGTACGTACCCAGTGGGGGCCTCCCAGGTAGATCAGGAAATGCCAGGTCCAAGAACCTCGGATGTACGCTGGAGCTGTCGGTGCAGCGGTCGCAACGTTTCAAAGCCCGTCTGGAGGGTTGACCCCGGTACCGTTCGGCAGCGTCAGCAGGTGCTCTTATTTTGAAAGGACGTCGTCTGGTTGTTAAACGACGAAAATCTCCAACTTCACAGTTCTTAGTTTAAAGACGAAACACATCTGGCCAGGCTGTGCTTTTCTTTAGGATGACGGTGACTAGAACTGAAGTCAAAATGGAACTGTTCTTAAAATGGCGTTGCCTTGTTTTATATCTCTGAATTGTTGATAAGTTGTAGTAAAGTGGATTGGACACTTGAAGTCAACACCAGATTCTCCTGCGGCAGCCGAAAGCTCTGATTGGTTGGAACAATGTGTCATGCGTTTCTATGGAGATGAGGGTCAGTATGTCTGTGCAGTTGTCCTGTTTTCATTAAACATAACTCATGACATATTTATTTCACAGATCATTCACTTGATTATTGTTGATCAACATCTGTTTTGCTTAATAATTTTAATCACAAATAAAGTACTTTGATTAAGTAAAGCTTCTTCTTCTCCTTCGGACTCTTCTCCTGGAATGTAAACAGTCTGAGGAACACCCGACCTTGGTTTTTCTACACGGGTGTTATTGTGCACAGGGGGCAGCTGTGTGGAGTTGAAAACAATGAACTTCATAACCTTACAGCTGCCCTGGGGCGCACTGACAGAGGCGAGGCTGCCGAGCACTGGCGCCACCGGTCCCTCCGACCACCACCAGCAGGCAACGTGGGTTAAGTGTCTGGCCCAAGGACACAACGACAGCGACAGACTGAGCGGGACTCAAACCAGCAACCTTCCGATTACGGGGCGAGCACTTAACTCCTGTGCCACCGTCGCCCCAGCACTATTTAGGGGAGTGCTCTGTTGTATTTTCCTGCAATTTGAACATAGTAAGTGACAGAAGCATTAAAGAAACACAAATTCCAAAAGTGGAAAACCAAAAAAGACCCATGTGCAATAAAGTACCCCGGATTTCGACTAGATGCGTAAGTGGCAAGTAATGTAACAGATGGATTTTACTCATGAGCTTCCTTCCCACCGGGAGCGTTCCAGACACGGAACGGCAATGAAAGTGTTCCACGCAGTAAGCTCACTAAATTACAGAGAATTGCAAGATCTTACAGCTTTTCTCCATTCAAATTTTTTTTATATATATACAAAAACAAAACTGGAACATAGTTACTGTTAACAAACAGTATGGTTGTTGTGTCTATGGCAAGCTAACACTGCAGCGATGGCATTTGTAATTCGACACCAGCCGGCAAAAAGATCAGGAGTTGTTTGAAGAACCAAAGCCAGTAAACAGGAGTGACCCAGAAGTTATTTCTTGTACCCCAAGGTAGCCGCAACATTATTTTATTTTACTTTAATATCACGTGAGGCAGAGGCTAACGTTGAGCTAACAATGTTAACTGTGAATTAGAAGCAAGTAGTCAACTCTAAAAATATCTCAATTTACTTTTTAAATCACCAACAACAATATTACAGTGAAATGTATGTGTGAAGTAAATAATGAGTCTATCTTGATGTCATCCTTTAATGAGTTGTTCAGAACTATACGCAAACATGTACGTGTTCCGTGGAAAGGCCTGGATATGAATGGACAGAAAACAGACTCTTAAAGCTAACCTTTAAATGTAACTTGGATTTATTTATTTTTCCCCAGACACCATCGGAATGAAACCAAAAAGAACTGCTTTTGAGCTGTTTAGCCACAACCTTTTCCAAGATCTTGGAGATGAGCGGAAGTTTAGAGATGGGTCTGAAGCTGCTATGGAGAGAGGGGTCGAGACTCGGTTTTTTTAAGAAGCGGGTGGATTACAGCATTCTTAAAGTAAGCAGGGACCTGACCAGAAACCAGAGAAGCATTAATTATAGAGAGCACACTGGGACTCATGGACTGAAAAGCACTTTTAAACAAAGATGAGGGTAAGATGTCGAAGGGGCATGCAGAGGTTCATAGAGTTAACTAGTTTGGTAAACTCGGGCAAAGAAACAGGAGCAAAGCTATCTAGGATGATGGGCCAGGTTGGAGTCAGGAGAGGCAGAGATAAGGCTGAAGGAGAGATGCTAGATCTAACCTTATTGACTTTGCCCACAAAGAAAGACAGAAAGTGCTCGCCACGTAATCGGAAGGTTGCAGGTTCGAGCCCCGCTCTGTCTGTCGCTGTCGTTGTGTCCTTTGGCAAGACACTTAACCCACTTTACCTGCTGCTGGTGGTGGTCGGAGGGACTGGTGGCGCCTGTGCTCGGCAGCCTTGCCTCTGTCAGTGCGCTCCAGGGCAGCTGTGGCTACATTGTAGCTCATCCTCATCAGGGTGTGAATGTGTGTGTGAATGGGTGAATGACTGATTGTGTTGTAAAGCACCTTGGGGGGTTCCAGGTCTCTAGAAGGCGTTATATCAAATACAGGCCAGTTACCATTTACCATTTCTCACAGTCTGTAACAGAGTGGATGGAGGCTGTAGGAGAGGCAGGAGAGACGATGCTGCTGATGGTGTTAAACAGCACCTTGGGGTTCCCTTTGCTCTGGGACACAAGGTTGGAAAAATAGGAAACCCTAGCGTCTCTGAATGCAGTTAAAGGATGTCAGAAGATCCTTTAGGTGCAGCAGATGAACATGGAGATGGGTTTTCTTCCACAAGCGCTCAATTTTTCTGCATTGGCGCTTCAGGCTGCGAAGGCTATCATTAAACCAGGGAGTGGGGTTCACTGCAGGAACTGATCTGGTTCTGACAGGACAGATGTTGTCCAGAATGGAGAGGCAGTGCTCCTTAAACTGAGAAGTTAATGAATCTGGGTCGTTATCAGAAGAACTGGGTGGATCAAAAGCAGCAGAAAAATTGCTAGCTGTGCTCTCATTAAGAAAACGAGAACTAACCATATGGTGAGCAGGAGGTGGGGACGCAGAAACGGATAAGTTAAAGAAATTGCAATGGTGATCTGAAATGTAAATGTCCTCAGGACAAACACTGTCAGCATTTCGACTCAGGGTTAAAAACAAGGTCCAGAGTGTGCCCCCTGGTGTGTGTGGGGCCAGAAACATGCTGGGTAAAGCTGAAGGTGTCCATGAGGCTGAAGGAATTCATGGCAAAGTGGTCTGAGGGATCATCAACGTGGATGTTAAAGTCACCAACAATCACCGGTTTGGACAGCTTCACCGTGGAGGATAAACTCCTGAAGGAAAGAACTGTTTGGACCAGGTGGACGATAAACCACAGCACAGTAGAACGGGTCCTTACACCCGACTTTAATCAGCTGCATTTCAAAGGAAGCAAAGTGACCAGAGGTTGTAGAGCTACATGGAAGATGGTCTCTGAAAACAACAGCTAGGCCTCCACCACGACCAGAACCCCGGGGCTGGATAAGAAAAGGATAGCCACTTGGGCAAAGTTCAATCAGAGCAGTATAATCAGATGTTTGCTGCCAAACTTCAGTCAGAAACATAAAATCCAGGTTTTTAGACAGAATTAGGTCATTGAGCAGGAAGGACTTATTGTTACCTGAGCAGGTATTTAATAGAGCCATGCTGAGTGAGGTGGAGGAATCAGAAACTACAGAAACAGCTGGAGTTAGTGGACGTAAATTAGCAGGGTTAGATCCACGGTGTTTAGAAGAAAACACTTATGGAGGGAACAGGAGGAGAAACCACTGAGGAATGAGGATAAACCGACCTTAAAAAACTTGGACAGAGAAACCGAGCTGCAACGCGTCCTGGCGGGAATGCGGAAGTGGCGCTCAAGTCGCCAAACAAAGGACAAGAAGTTAGAAGATTACGCCGATGTTTACCAGATAAACCACGCTTTAAGAGAAGTCTTATTCTCACTTGAATTCCTGCTCGTTTACGTCTTTTCCTCCGACGTTTTCCCGGGACCGGACAAACATTGCTGGAGGCACCCTGGATGGAATCGTCGTTTGGCTCCGGGCCAGTGCACCACTCAGATAAACAAACAGGGAGGTACGTCCTCGGTGCTTCTTGGGCGATCGTGAATTAACAGAAGGACAAAAGAGTCTGGCGATCATAGGAGATGGTAGCAGGGACACTACTGAAGAGGATCGCAGACGGGAGCAAGGTGGAAAAGAGGAGGTTAGTGGAGAAAAGTTTGAAAAAGTGGCCGGTGACCATGGCTAAGCCAAGCACAGGCGCCATCTTGTTACCGACGAAGAGGACGACGAAGAGGATTTATATGTTTTTATCGCAGATATAATGGAACAAAAACAGCTCAACAATCAGATCAATAGACATAAGATCTAATACAAAAGGTTTATTTTTTGTACTTTCGTTGGATCCCATCTAACAAATGTAATAATCCACCAACAAAGTCTCAATCACACCATGAACAACATTCCTTTATAACAAACATCTGGCCCACCAGTTGTGTTGTTGTTTTTTTCTCCCTCTGATTGTTTTAACTCAAAAACTTTCTGCCTCCTAGCTAAACAAGTCAAATAAACTAATGTGTGAGTGTTAGCTCTTCAGACTTCTCTTCTTGTAGAATAGGCTGCTTTCTGGAAGCATATGTCTTCTTCTTGGACGAGCTGCATATCCTGCAATACAGAAAAATGTCTTTATAGTAACAAATCATTATTAGTTATACTTTTGCACTTCATCACGGTATTTATAGTGGCTTGAATGCAGTCATTAAAATTACAGCTGGAGCTGTAGCGGAAAGCACATAAATACTTTTTGACAATATTCTGCATTACTCCACACTATAAATGGTTGCAATTATTATTACAAAAAAATGCAATAATTTAATACCATTTGCATTTTTGCATCTGCTCCACTGTTTCTGGAAGGTCCTTGTTGAAGGTCTCTGGTAAGAAGAGGTTAACCACAGAGGAAGAGATTGTAAGACTTCCCATTAGGATATAAGGTAGAACCTTATTATATGTACCTGCAAACACAGGGAAGGAAATGTTTACTATTCAACGTTTCATCATCCTTTATATGTCCTCAGCAGATTATTAGTTTTTGTTACCTAAATAAATGACGTAAGGAGCTGTGATGCTGCCAATGCGAGCGGCTGAGGAGCACATTCCCATCCCGACGTTTCTGAGAACAGTGGGGTAGATCTCAGCGGTGTAGATGTACACTATGGTGAAGGCCATGGTGAAGCCAAACTTCCCAGACATTTCAAGAGCCAGAGCAACGTACTGAAGGGCTGAGGAGGAAAGGCAGAGTATAAAAGCTTAGTCTTAAATGTTAGTGCTCGTAGTGAGAGAAAACACAAATGCAATTCATAAAATAATCAATAAGAAAGGTTTCAACATGCAAACTATTTATTCGTATATATTGGAATGATTGATGCCTTAAGTTTGAATGCAGTATTATGTACAGTAGCTTTACAGTAGTATTAGTGCCTTTGATAGAAATCCATAGAGGGCCTTGAGGAAGGATTCAGCTTTTACTATTATTTAACATTTTAAAATCCCACTTTATGTTTCTCTTCCATTGAAATTGAGCAAGACACTTGTCTGCTGGCGGTAGTTGGTGGGGACTGTGGTCAGCAGCCTCGCTCTGTCAGTGCACCCCAGAAAAGCTGGTTCTACGTTGTAACTCATCAACACCAGGGTGCGAATGTGTGTGTGAATGATTGTGTTGTTAAGCACCTTGGGGGGCTCTAGGACTCTAGAAGATACTGCATCAAATACAGGACATTGATAAACTCAGTGAGAAGTCCCATGACTCTAAGAGTTGAGCTGGTCCCTTTGGGTCACGTGCCCTCAATTGACCAATCAGATTTGACGCTGACATAAACAAGGAAGTTAGAATGTTGTTTTTAAGGAAGTGAGAAATGTCACCGGGCAAAATGAGGAAAAAGCTTTCTGTAGCCTAATGAAGTTTCAGTTTAACACACGGACGGGGAGATTTACCACACTGACTACTGTCTGTCAAAACCAAACAACTCAGGAATAACCTTTTGTTTTACCGATGTGCCACTGCTTTGTTACTTTGAGTGAAGGATGGAGGAAAAACACAAGAAGATTCTTCAGCAGAACATGACTCAATTGGTAAAAGGCTTGGATCTACCAGACCTCTATGGTGCCCTCCTCAAAAAGGACATTTTCACCAAAGACATGATCGATGAGCTACAGGTATGTTGCACTAAGGCTAGATTTGTTTATTTATTCAAAACTAATCTTGCAACAATTCCTCCCATCAGATTGCTGGAATTGTGCAAGACCAGGTCAGACAACTAGTTCAGGCCTTAGAAACCCGCGGGAGTCGAGCATTCCCATTATTCCTGGAGTGTCTCTGGGAAACAGGTCAGCATGGTTTGGCTGAGCTTTTACAAACTGAAGCCCCAACTGTTCCAAGACCAAGACCAGGGTGCAAGAGCTATAAAATGGAATCCAGCCCCTGTGGTCACTGCTTGATCATAAATAACATGGAGTTTAAACCTGAGAGTGCACTCAGAAACCGCAGAGGGTCCAACATAGACTGTGAGAAGTTGGAAACAAGATTCAAGGCAATCAACTTTATTGTTGAAGTAAAAGAAAACCTGAAAGAAAGTCAAATCAAACAGGAAATGTCAGCTTTGTCAAAAAAGGATCACTCGCAGTATGACTGCTGTGTGGTCATCGTGCTCTCCCATGGGACTGAGGTGAGACATAGCGGCTTACCTGGTGCCATTTATGGTGTGGATGGAAAACACGTCACTGTTCACGACCTCACACTCTACCTGAATGGACAAAACTGCCCTTCTTTACAAGAGAAGCCAAAACTTTTCTTCATTCAGGCCTGTGGAGGAGATGAAAGAGACACCGGCTTTGAGGTGTCCTCTGATGAAGCTCAACCATCCACAGGAGGAGTAGACAACCAAACTGATGCCATCCCAACACCATTCAGTAACAACTTTCTCAGCCTGTTGTGTGAGATTGATGCTCGAGCCTCTCTTCCCACCCAAAGTGACATCCTTGTGTCCTACTCTACTTTTCCTGGTTATGTCTCCTGGAGAGACACCCAGGCAGGTTCTTGGTACGTGGAAACTCTGGAGCGAATCCTCAAGGAAAACGCAGCTACTGATGACTTGTGCTCAATGCTGGTGATGGTTAACCACCACGTTTCCCAAAACTGTGCTAAAGGACTTTACAAGCAAATGCCTTTTTCCTTTAATCTCCTTCGGAAACTTCTCTACTTTCAAACTTCAACATAGAGTAACAATGTGAATACCTGACTGTGACAGACTGCACAATCTTGTAAAGACTAAAGTCCCATTAGTCATCAAACACGCTGATGTGTGGTGAAATGTACTCTCTGTACTTGACCCATTCCCTTGGGGAGCAGTGAGCTGTAGACACGGTCGTGCTCAGGAACTATTTGTTGATTTAACCCCCCCCCCAATCCAACCCCTTGTTATTGAGTATTAAGCAGGGAGGCATTGGGTCCAATTTTTAAAGATTTTTGTGTGACCGACTGGGACAACACATTCTCACACCCGAAGAGTCGAAAAATTACGTTTTCCGTCGGAAACAATCGCTTGGTCATCCAGCTTCATTTTTTGACGCTCCGAGTGGGAGAATGTGTTGACTGGGATTTGAACCTCAATCTCCCAGTCTCAGGGCAGACACTCTGCCACCAAGCCATTGAGAAGGTTAAAGCAAATTCTTTAGTCAAAATTCTAATTTGAATGGTTTTGTGACTTTCCCATTGATCCTATTAAAGATGGCTGAGTGTTTGTCTAAGCACGTTGTAAAATGTCAACATGGGACTTACCTTTCATTCTCAAATGTCTTCTTACATATTTTTCTACTCACCATACTCTTATTAAATAATTCAAACATAAAACGAATGTTGGTCATGTACTGTAAGTTGTACTATACTGCATGGCCCAAAACAAGTCGCTACCTGGATTTAACTAAGCAAATAGGTACGAGCCTCCTACTGGATAGTTACTGCATCTTTTAGCTGGCAACAAGTTATTTAACCCCAAATGGAGTTGCTTCTCATTTCTTAAACAACCAGGTGAAATGACACATCTGATGGTCATGGAAAAGATGTTTGTTTGTAAAGGGTCAGATCCTTGGCATGCATCAAGCTGAGAAAAAAATCTAAGGAGATTGCAGAAACAACTAAAACTGGGTTAAGAACTGTCCAACGTAATATTAAAAACTGGTCTGATGAGTCCAGATGGACCCTGTTTCAGAGTGATGGGTGCATCAAGGTAAGAAGAGAGGCGGCTGAAGTGATGCACCCATCATGCCTAGTGCCTACTGTACAAGCCTGTGGGGGCAGTGCTATGATCTGGGGTTGCTGCAGTTGGTCAGGTCTAGGTTCGGGTTAGGGCAGGGATGTCCAAACTTTTCAAGACGAGAGCCAAAATTATGAAGTTAAAACTCCTCACGGGCCACAAATTTATTATTTTTTTAAAGAATACAAACATTATTTTATATTTTTCATTTTTTCTGCTCAAAAAAGGTCTAAAATAGACATATTAGTAAAAATGTAAACATAAAATATTAAAACATCTGAATTTATATCAATAACCTCCTGAAGAGACTTAATTCCACAATTCAAAAATTGCTAGTGAGGGCCATGGAAAATCGCTCCGAGGGTCGCAAATGGCCCCCTGGCCGCATTTTGGACATACCTGGGTCAAGGAGTTTTTTCTTCCCTAATGGCATGGGCATATTCCAAGATGACAGGATTCATCTGGCTCAAAAAGTGAAAGAGTGATTCAGGGAGCATGAGACATCTTTCTCACACATGGATTGGCCACCACAGAGTCCAGACCTTAACCCCATTGAGAATCTTTGTATTGTACTGAAGAAGGCTTTGTGCAGCAATCAGACTCTACCATCATCAAGTGAGATATTGGTGAAAAATCAGTGCAACACTGGATGGAAACTAATTTAGTGACACTACAGAAGCTCACCAAAACAATGCCTCAGCGAATGCGTACTGTAATCAAAGCTAAAGGCAGTCCAATAAAATATTAGTGTGAGTGACTATTTTTTCAGTGGGCAGTGTGGTGGGCAGGCCACTTACTGTCTGGGATGAATTGGATGAGCAGAAGAACTCCTCCTCCGATGATGAGAAATGTCGACAGGAGTTCTCTTCTTGGACATTTTCTCAGCAAACAAGTTGAAACAATATAAGCAGGAACTTCAGAAATGGCTGATAAAAAACAATTCATGAAGGGGTTTCCACTCAGGTTTGACGTGTTCAGGGACAAGCCAAAGTACCCAATGTTTATCGCCATCCTAAAAATACAAAAATAACAGTGTTGAATGAAAAACACATTCGTATTTTTTACTACAAAAATTACATGTTTATTGTTATTATCTATGTATTATCTGCATCTTTAACATCAATATGATCGAGGGTAATCATATTAATGTGCATTAAGACTCACCACAAAAGGAGGCACATCAGAGTGATGCATCTGAGATTAAAGGATTTTAGAATATCAAGCATAGTGTACTTCCTGCCAGGAGGCATGTCCTGGATCTTAAACAAGACAAAATATTCAAGTGATCCAAATGTATTTTCCATGCATCCAAGATCATTTACTTTGGTATTGTCGGTTCATTTGTTTTTCAATACACTGATGTAGACATGATGTAATTAGACATGGAATTTAAAATCACTTTTTTATCTCAATTTGTGGAAATGTAATCTGCCTATATTCCAGTAAGGCTTAAAAAATGTCCAATATTTTTTAATTTGTAGCTATTCTTTGTTACAGTATGTCATTTTGAAATGTCTATTTCTGTGGAATTATCAATGCGGGTTTTTTTATGCTGTTTGTGGGAAAATGAAAAAAAAAACTAAATTTATGTATTGAGACTGTACTATGTATATGAGACTTTTTGCAATGATTTTGAACCGGCTTGAAGTTATGGATACAAAGCATGTGGGCCTCACCTCCGATTCTTTAAAAACCACAGGTGGTGCCTGCACTTTGTTTTTACGTGCTGCCTCTCGCACAATGATCTCTGCCTCCGCTGCTTTTCCCTGAGTGATCAGCCACCGGGGCGACTCTGGAAGGAACCTGAAAGATCAATGTTTAGTTATTTTTCATGACAACAGGTAAATTACATGGTTTAAAGTTGAGACATCATTGGATTTCATGGCTGGCGTACCACCAGAGTGGGATGTACACAACAGAAGTTGCCGACAGAACAGCAAGCAAAGTTCTCCAATCTCTGATGCCGTACGCGATCCAGGGGAGTGTCATGTAGCCAATGCAATAAAAGAGGAAGGCCCCGAGTGTCGTGAAGAGGACTCGCATGGTCTTACTCAACAACTCTGTGCCTATCAGAGATGAAAACAACATTCTCTAAAAGACAATCCAGCATTTAAAGGAGACACATTGTGACTTTTTCTTAAGTGATAATAGTTTTACAGTTCAAACCTAACATGTTCATTAAGTTCTTTGCACTAAACCACTCCCACATAAAATTATTTCCGCAGTTATATTTGTGAAAGTCTCAGTAACTTCCAGAATGAGCCGTTTCAGGACTCTGTCACTTTACAGATGCAATATAAAAATAATGAGAAAAGAATGACATCCTGTGGTCATAACTGGGTACTGCAGTCCATTTTCTAAACAAAAATTCACTTTCTCACTGCCATTCCGTGAGTTTCATGGCTGTTGCCAATTACAAATCATTGCCAGAAGGTTCTAGATGACAAGCGATACACAGTTAGCTGACAAGTTGCACTCTTGGGTGTTTTACAGTAATGAACACTTACTGCACTTATTACGATGGTATGTCTGCAGCAAAAATGGAAGCCTGGTTGTTTGCTGTCTAACTGTTAGCATGCTTACTGTTATAGTTCTGAACGACTCATTAAAGGAAGTAAATCGCCATGATTGACTCATCATTCATTTAACACATTCATCTAACTGTAATATAGAGTTGTTGGTAATTGAAAAAGTAGCTTGAGATAATTTTAAAGCAGACTGTTTGCTTCTACATCATATTTAGCATTGTTTGCTAAATGTTAGCCTCTTGCCTTCTTTACCTAATATTCGAGTAAAGTAAAAAGATGCTGTGGCTTTAAGGGATACAAAAGGTAATTTTTGAGTCCCGCCTGTTTACTGGCTTTGGTTCTTTTTTTTTGTCTGGATTTATTGATATTTTATTAAAAAGCTTCAGAGTTGTTCTTAAAACCATTAAAACATTCTGGACACCACCCCTCCAGGCCCAGAATTGAGTAGCACAGCATCAGACTGTTTTGTGAATATTTCCTTGTAAATTTCTTACATGTTGTTCCTTTAAGAAAAGAAGCAGTCGCTGGTCACGCCCAAACATCCCCTGATTGGCTGCTATAAGCTGAGAAGCTCAGATTTCCATGAGGGGCTCAGAGTAGAGCCACTGCTCCTTTTGCAACAGCTCTCTTGCACACAAAAAGTGTGCCTATTCTATTTTTTTCCTATTTATTTCATTCAATAAAAATAAATACAACAAATAAATAAACAATATGCATATAAACACAATACAACTTGAATGAAAGGGAGCAGATGGAAGAAAAAATCTTATAAGTTCTGCCCCTTTTTTAAAACAAAAATAACAAAACTATTTTTATGCATTCCATCGAAGTTAATTTTGTCACATTCCTTGTCCACATTTCAATTATAGCCACAGATATTATTCACAATCATATCCACCCAACACACTTGATCTAATATATTCTCTGAACACTTTTAGAGTTCTTGACTCTTTCACTTCTCTGTCCAGGCAGTTCCATAATTTCACACCAATTCTTCAAAATGCTCATTTCCTTCATTTTGATTCTAAATCTGGGCTTTTTGAAGACTTCAGTTCCCTTCAAAATATAACTACTTTCCCTCTTTTCAAACAATCGCTGAATGTTATTTGGCAATGTACCTATATTAGCTTTATACACTATATGCAATATTCTCCAGTCGACCAAATCATGAAATTTCATTACTTTATATTTTATAAATAACTGATTGAAATTTCCCTTATTGTGACATCACAATCAGCGATTTCTTGAAATGGCTCATTTAGGTACATAATTACTAAAATTAAACACTGACAGAAAATGGATTAGCACGTTTTCTTTTCATGTTTGGAATGTTTTAGATACAGTAGAGACCAACATGGCAGCAAAAAATAAAAAAAATAAAAAAATAAATGCAAAAGGTGAGTTTAACATTTCACCATTAGTCTTATTTGTTCTATTATTATTTCTATTGATATTGTCATTAAGGTTCAAATATGATGGAGGACAGAAATGTGCTCACCCAGAACAAATGCAGAAATGTAGATAGATATCTGAGAGGCTCCAACAAACAGGAACATGATACAAAACATTCTCCATGACTGAGAGAACGACTGCAGGAGAACAGAGAGAGATTGGGCCGCGAGAGACACAAAAACCACCTTTTTCCTCCCAAACCTGAAGAAATAAAAGTTGAACATGTGAGACACTAAACAGAAAGTGCAGGAATAAATCTAAATCCGTCCAATTAATATAAAACTCAACTACGGAGGAGTAAAAATGCAATCAATGTCACAATTTTGATTTGAAGGACATGCCAAGCAGATTTGGCATGTGACAGGTTAAGTCTACTGATTAAACCTGCATTTACTTCAACAGCAGATGGAGCTGTTGTTTCAACAGGAACTCATCAATAGCTCCACCATCAAGGGTTCGGATGTTAACAAAATCAAAAGTTCAGTTCCATAAAGCAGCAATAACTTCTAAATAATTGAATCCTTCTAAATAAAATACATCATGTGAGATTGATGTAATGCACCAAAATCTAAGTCTGAGTCATTTTTTAATAATTTACTTGATAATTAAATTGTAAAATACCTGTCAGAAAGCTGTCCAGAGATTAGAGACCCCACAAGGTATCCCACAAAGAGAGTCGAGGATGCAAATGGAACTTTCCATTGGTTGTCACAAACTAGGTTCCACTGTGAAAAATGAGAAAAGTCACATGAAAAGGATCAAATCTTCATTTAAGAAAAAACAAAAAACAAATGCCATTTTTAAACTGACCTCAGTGACTATGGTGGACTGGTAAATGTCTTTGCTGTAAACCCATCCATCTAAACATCCTTCCTGCTCCAGATTAGTGAGATTAATGTCCCGTCCAGGAATATATCCCTCATCTGAGAGGTTTTTTACCACAGACAGTTTATATCTGCTGCACTGGCTCTGGACTTCTTCTCCATCTGCTGTCACCAAAGGGATGACGGCATTTCTCCACTCATCAGTCAGGTTGACATCTGGAACGAGACAATGGTGTCTTGGAGCTGCTCCAGCAAAAATGATGTAAAGTCCATCGAATCCAGTCGACACAAAAACAGTGTTTAAGAGGAAGAAAGTGGTCCAGAAATAAGGACCCGTTTGTCCGAGAAACGCTGTTTCCTCGTCGTAGTCTCCCATTTTTATAGAAAAGTTTCACCCTCTCTGCTCCTCAGAGTGTGGTGTTCCTCTAAAAGTCTTCAGCTCAGTGCTGGAGCTGTGGGGTCAAGCTCTCTGTGGGGTACAGCGGACCGGTCCCCTCGGTGGGACGGAGTCAGAGCAGAAAAGTTTCCATCTCAGCTCCCCTGTGAAGAGTATGAGTTTTTACCATAAACTGATAAGCTCTTAAATACTAGTTGACCCACTAAGACAAGTTCATTCAGAGGTTTCGTTAACAGGAAGTAGAATAATCTAAAGCTCCGGAGCACCAAATCCACTCAGGCCCCCCCTCACTAATGTGGTATTTTTTCTAAACAACATTCCTCACTTTTAAATACTGAAAAGACGTCCACATGACTGTACTCCAAATGTTACTGAGTGGGGTTAAGGCTCCTGCTGGACTATTTAAAAACACACAGCAGAGGCAAACATGCTTTTCTGGACAGTTCAGCAGAAACTTGTGTGTTTGCTCTGCTATCTTTAAGATAAACCGCTAACATACAGGATCCATGAAAACCCAAAAGTATTTTTACACAACACTTGTGTTGTGTACACTGTTGCAAAAAACATGTTTACCCCAGAACTTCTCACATCTAATATTATCTGCATTCATATTTTTGGAATATGTAAAAATATTACAGGTGTGGTAGACTGTGCAGCTCTGTAGGGCGACGTCACATTCTTTGCCCTTCACTGCAGCTGTCTTTCATATTAGGTTTCACACAAATAAAAGCCTCCTTCATTCACACAAGCGATGAATAGTAACCAGCCAGTTATTTTTCAGTCATGCTTAAAACATTTTGTGCTTTTTTGTTTCAAGCTGTTAAAAGACATGAGTGCAGCAGGTTTAAGAAAATAAAAGTTTTTTTTTTTGTAAAACCCTACTGCAGCTGTTGGGTAATCTTTGACCTTTTTAGAGGCTCTAATTATGTTCCAGCTGCAAAAAATGATCTGTAAGACTTTTTTCCCCTCAACAACAACAATTTCAACATCTCTGATGAAATCTAAACCTTGGAGAAAATAAGTTTAAATGTCACCATGAAGTCATTTCCATCTGACTTCTTGCCAGTCGTTCCCATTTCCACCCGACTGCTGCACCAGAGGTGACAGAGTTAATCAGTTTAATCGGGGCACAGATGAAACACACACTGCATTATGCTAAACCAACGCAGCTAAAGAATGCAAACGCTTGTTTGCCTTGGTCCCATGCTGTAAAACACAGTGATGATTAATGGTGGTGATGCTTAAAAAGATATGGTCATCTGAGGTCTGTCGTCTCGAAACGCAATAAATCAAAAGTTCACTGATGAAATGTTTAACAGATAAGAGCTTTTGCAGATTGTTTTGGGTAAATGAGTGCAACTGGGCAGTCAAGATGTTGACACATGACTCTAGCTAAGAGGGGGGCACCTTTCCAATCATTGGAGACATTCTGCTCCTTATGCCACTGGAGAAAATTTGTTAAGAGCCATAAAAGACACTTGAATCTGAAGAAACACACAATATGTCACATAAAATAAAACAGATGTTTATTAAATTAAAGAACTGCATGAACTTTTATTAGTATTTAAAGGAAAGTATAAACTGTTTTTAATATCATTTTTCAGCTTGACCCTCTGGAGGCAGGCGTTGCAGTTTTGCAATGTTAAAACCTACCTACCTGGCTACCCTACATACATATTTCATGAGCATTTTTTTAACTCAGTCAATAGAGGGCTGCAGATTGGTGTAAATTATGAAACTGGTTAAGTTTTTAACTCAACAAGATCAATGTTAAAGCTCTAGCATAAAGTTTCAAAAAAATCTATTGTTACTTTAAGTAATGGTAAACTTGCAGCAATTGAAATTATTTACACAAAATTCATTACAAAAGAAACGAATAGAATCTGACTTTATCAGTTCAGATGAGGTCTTTGAGGGTCATTTAGCATGTTTTAGATATTTACTTGCATATCTGATTCAGCAACTCAGCACGCCTTTAAGGGCTGTAAGCGCCTGTTATTCATCCAGTGTTTTAAGTCAGGAGTCAGAGCAGAAAAACATGAAAGACATGTAGGACAGGACTTGGGCATCACTGATTTACACAGTATCATGCTTAAGAAAAAAAACACCAGAGTTGTCTTTTTGACTTCTCCTTCAAAATAAAAGCCTGAAGAAACTTGGAAAACAGTTCCATGAGTAACCGTTCTATTTGATTTAAAAAGATAAGATGAAATCAAAACAGCTATAGGATAACTTTAGTTGAATGAACAAGTGTCAGCTACTGCCAACCTGATTTCGTTAAGCTGACAGAAAGAGTCTATAGCACTCGGTGTAATCATTAATGTGTGTTTTAACACCCGATTTGACTGGTCTGATACAAAGGATCATAGTGCACACAGTAAGAAGCTCTGACTGCATCTGCCTGCATGTGACATGAGGGGAGAGCACATGGATGTAATCAGAACACAGACAGGCCATGTGCTGTGGTCTGAGCTGGATTCTGTTACATGGTTTGCCTCCTACACTGTGGGATTTTTTTTAGATGCATCATATTAATGTAATGCATTTTCTGGCAAAAAATTAATAAAAAAAATAACGAAATGATTACTTGGATTTTTTAAATACATTTTAGACAGTTTGAAACAGTATTTTAAGTCTTACATTTTTCAATATTTATTATTTTCTTTATTTATTTGAAAGGGCAGTGAATAATAATCAGCATTTAAACAAGTCAGATAAAAATACATCTCAATTACTAAAAGGCTGAATTTCATCAGCAGTCTGTCTAAACAGGCATCTAAAGTTTGCAGGTTTAAAAATCAGCCTCAATGTTTCTGCAGCTCAAGGCTGCAACACATTCAAGTTAGAAAATGTTACTAAATTTACGTCAGTATTTCAACTTAATGTGACAATGTGTAATTTTTACCATTGATCGCTGGAAACATCCATTGAAATAATGTTAAAAACGAGTTAAATGATGCCCAGTTGTAGAAAAATATTGGCAGCTTTATAACATAACCGTAAAAATTGGGTCTAAAATACATGGAAGGGGTCTATGCGTGTTTCTCAATGTCAAGGAACATTGTCTTGATGTCTTGACCCCGCCCCGGTTGCCTAAGAGATACATCATCAGGAATTGCCAAGATGTGTTCCAATGTTCATGTTCTACCGAGACGTCTGTTCTCCATTTGTTAGCCGTTTAGCTAGTTGAGCAAGGATACATGGGAGGTGCCTTGTAGCCTGGCCTTGGTCAAAATTTTCCCAGAATACAGAGTGGTATTTTTAAAAAAATGGCGGGTCAGGAGCTGGCAGCTACTTAAATGTAAGTCAACTAACTGTAGCTATCGGGCTGATATCTAAAATGTTTTTTTAGATCCAAAGCAGTTATCTATAGTTGGTTAGTTGCTTAGTTGCAGCTTCGGTGGCTAGCAGGTATACTCACTTACATATTTAATTGAACCAATATATACACAATTTAAAAAATAAAAGCTTATTTTACATTTATATTGAAACTCATACATATAAAATATAACATCTCATTTTTACGGCCCCCAGCTCGTCTAAGAGATGATGTGGTTAGGGAGCGTAAAGAAATGAGGTTGTGAACAGGAACAAACCAAGATTCACTCTCTTAAAGGAGTTTATTTAACTAAAAGTCACTGCTTTATGCAGGTAAAAGGATAAAATGATACAAAACAAGAGACATCCAAAACTGGGATTTAACAACTATAATACTATTAAACACAAAGCGCCGGGGATTAAAACCGGGTAAAGAATGAGCAGGATTAACACAAAAAACTCCACCAGAAGGGTGAGCTAGATCTCTTTAACGAGGATGCTACAAAAAACACAAAACGAGCTCTAGAAACTAGGAAGTGATTATCGATACCACTCAGGTAAGTTAACGTCAGTACGAGGAGGGAAAGAGGAGAGCAAACACTTCTGCTTGTTCTTTTCTGAACTTCCCCCCCGTCTGTATCATCTGACGCACCCTTTTAACAGGGAGCCTCACTGAATTCCACCTGGCTCAGCTAGAGCCAGGAGAGCAGGTAGGGACACTGAGGGCACCTAGTGGCCACAAAACAGACGGCTCCTGTTACACTCGTGTCACATGACATGACTGCCACAGAAGCTGCTGTCAGGTGATGTAAGTTCACTTCAATTCAATTCAGTTTTATTTATATAGCGCCAAATCACAACAAGAGTCATCTCAAGGCACTTCACATAATAAACATTCCAATTCAGGTCAGTTCATTAAGCCAATCAGAATAAAATGTTTCCTATATAAGGAACCCAGCAAATTGCATCAAGTCACTGACTAGTGCCAGTGACTTTACAGCAATCCTCATACTAAGCAAGCATATAGCGACAGTGGAGAGGAAAACTCCCTTTTAACAGGAAGAAACCTCCAGAGGATCCTGGCTCAGTATAAGCAGCCATCCACCACGACTCACTGGGGATCGAGAAGACAAAGTAGACACACACACACACACACACACACACACACACACACACACACACACACACACACACACACACACACACACACACACACACACACACACACACACACACACACACACACCAAAGCCCTTTTCAGATAGACATTCTGGAACATTTGTGGACAATTTAATCCGGTTTTTAACCGGAACTGTGTTTTCAGACACACCACTTTTGTACCAGAACTTGTCCTTTCGGCTGCGTTCACACAGCAGGGAAAAGTTCCAGATGTCTGACGGCGGCGGGGGTGGGGGGGGTGGGGGAAGAGAATCAGACTCATGTTAAGAAGAAGAAGAAGAAAATATCATTTCTATTGCGCCTCTCAAGATAAAAATCACGAGGCGCTTAAGCATAATTCTGCGCACACGAAGACGCATAAAAGACCTGGATGATGAAGCTCAATGGTTAAAGGAACCACTGAAGCAGTGTGAAGCGCTCCGTCGCGCGTCTAGGCGGTACCGTAGGAGGCGAGCTGCCGTGGTTCGCCGCATGCTACAGCAGCGAGCTATCTGGGTGCGCACAGCGTCCCCCGGTCCCCTCCTCCTCCCCCTCCCCCTTGTCCGGAACTCTACCTCACCAGTCTGAAGCAGCCACCCTGTCCGTAACATGTCCGGACCTGTTACTAGGGGCTTCGTCCGGATAAATTCTGGAACACGTTATCCGGATGTTTGTATTCAGACACAGAGGTCTTACGGACAGAGTCCGGAACATTTCCGTTTTTCATGGCCTGTCTGAAGGGGGCTTAAGCAATGTGTCTATGGTTACATTGTGATTTCTTAGTAAATATTCTATTAGAAGAGAGATAAACTTTATTGTATTTGTCCTAGTGAATCTATTGTTAAACGGGTAAACTAGCAGTAGCACATCCAATGTCAAAGAAAGCAAAAAGTTATTATCAGGAGAGGG